TACAACTCCAGGCCTTGACACGTGCTGTACTACTTCGTAACGATATCGAAGGGGTATTGGGAGAATTAGAATCCGAAGAAGATTTCATTGTTGCAATCCAATCGGCAGCTAAAGCTTCTTTAGTCCGAGCCGCATATGTAGAGAAGCAGCGTTTCTTCAAAGAGAATATGGAAAAGGTTGTGAAGATCCAAAGTTTCGTTCGTGGGCGTTTACAGGGTGAGGCTTACAAGAGCTTGACAACTGGAAAGAACCCCCCTGTCAATACCGTCAAGAACTTCGTTCATCTTCTCAATGACAGTGATTTCGATTTCAATGAGGAAATTGAGTTCGAGCGTATGCGAAAGACTGTCGTACAGCAAGTTCGTCAAAACGAATTGGCAGAGCAATATATCGATCAATTGGACATCAAAATTGCCCTTTTGGTGAAGAATAAGATTACACTGGATGAAGTCGTCAAGCATCAGCGAAATTTTGGCGGAAACTCGGGAAACATTCTCGTAAATAGCTCCATGGCTTCAGGGAATCAATTTGATCTGAAAGCTCTCAACAAGAATTCGAGGAAGAAGCTTGATTTGTATCAACAACTCTTTTTCAACTTACAAACTCAATCTCAGTACCTTGCCCGGTTGTTCCAAATAATTCGAGAACAGGGTACTGCCGAAAAAGACTGCAAACGCATCGAAACCTTGATGATGGGTTTGTTTGGATATGCGCAGAAGCGTCGTGAGGAGTACTACTTGCTCAAATTAATTGCTCGTTCTGCTAGAGTAGAAATCGAGCACTTCGCCTCGACGCAAGACCTACTCCGCGGTAATTTCTTTTGGACAAAACTCCTCGCTAATTACACCCGTTCTCCTCGTGATCGAAAATTCCTTCGTGATCTGTTAGGCCCTCTCATCACGGAAAATATTATCGAGGATCCCGCACTCGACCTTGAGAGTGATCCAATGCAAATTTATCGCTCAGCTATCAACAACGAAGAGCTTCGAACAGGTAGACCAAGTCAAAGAGCTTTGGAGATTCCTCGAGATCAAGCAATCAAGGATCCAGAAACTCGAGACATGTTTATTGATCACTTAAGAGATTTGAGAGAGATTTCAGATCTTTTCATGCTTGCTTTAGAAAGTCTTTTGCATAGAATGCCTTATGGTGTTCGCTTTATTTGCCAGCAAATCTTTGAGGGGCTTTGCCAACAATTTCCACGAGAACCACAACTAAATCTTCTACAAGTTGTTGGTAATTGGTTCTTCAAGTTCTACTTATTCCCAGCTTTGACCACTCCTGAGTCTATGGGTGTAGTGGAAAGGCAGCTCACCCCACTGCAAAAGCGCAACTTAGGCGAAGTTGCCAAAGTCCTTGGCCAGATCTCATCTGGACGGTTGTTTGGTGGCGAGAATATGTTCTTGCAGCCGTTGAACGCCTACGTCACTGACGCCATTACCAGAATTACTGAAATCTTTTCCAATATTATCTCGGTGCCGGATGCGGAAAGTACCTTCGATATTGATGAGTTTAATGATCTGTATGCTCGTACGAAACCTACACTTTATATCAAGATGGCCGATATTTTCGCAATTCATAACCTCATTTGCGATGATCTGCCACAAATCTGTCCAAACCGCGATGATGTTCTTAGAGAAATTATTCAAGAACTCGGCAGTGCCAAGAACAATGAGTCCGAGATGTTAGGTGGCTCCTCTGGCGAAATTCAAATGACTTTGAGTCCTAAACTTCACGATATGGACGATCCGGAAGCTGAAGTGAAAGCACTTTTTATGGAGACCAAGAGATGTATTCTGTATATCATTCGAGTCCAATCCGGTCCAAACCTGATGGAAATTTTGGTGAGACCGATAACACCAGAGGATGACCAGAAGTGGCATGATTTACTACGAGAGGAATTTTCGGCGGACAGCAAGACTCGTGGAGCATACTCTGATGTCAATACTTTAACAGACATAAAATCCATGTCATACTGGGAACTGAAGAGGACTGCTCTAGAAAACATCATGAGACTTGAGCAACTTGGAAGAATCTCAAGACAAAACTTCTACCAGGACATCCTCAATGCTATCGCTGTTGACATTCGTACCAAAAGCAGACGTCGTGTTCAGAGACAAAGAGAGTTAGAAGGTGTTAAGATGACATTGGGGAATTTGGGCGAGAAGGCGGATTGGCTTGAGTCGCAGAGGAAGAGTTACGATAATTATATCGAACAAGCCATGATGACTTTGCAGAAGAAAGGGTATGAGATTCGCTCTATGCTGCTGATACGATGCTAATAATTGATTAAACAGGAAAAAACGTTTCCTTATGCCTTTCTCCAAACAATACAACCACGAAAAGGAACTCGAGCGTACAGGTCGTACATACAAATTCGGCTCTTTCAAATATTCGGCTCGAACATTATCGGATAAAGGTGTATTGGTCGCCTGGAAAGGATACCCCGAACGTGAATGGGATAAGATCAATCTTACAATTTCATGTGATCAAGTTGGTGTATTCTCCATTGAGGGTAGCAAAGGCAGCATTGTCATTACTGGTGCAATGGCTCAAGTTCCTATGGACTCACTTCTGGCTGCACAATTCGCAAACCACCAGTATATGGATATGTTTGAGGGTGCGATGAGGTTAAATGTTAATCTATTCTTACATTTGTTGTACAGAAAGTTTTATAGGACTGAGTAATGTGGATGGTCAAATACGGAGATGGCCAGGTTTGCAGAGGAAGAAGTCATTTGGACATCGAGAATGGGGAAGGGATGGCAAAGGTGCATCTTATTCTAATGGGAAAATATCTCTGATTTTAGGCGCAAGTTATATCTTATGGCATGGAATCGGCGTCGCATGAAGTGATAAGCTGGGAGACTTGGAAAGTCCCGAGGTCGGCCTGGATTGGAATTATCGGTCATGGTATTGTGTATGTACATATTCATTTTCTTCTTGAAGACTGGGACGAAGCATGCAGCGAGAAGCGGGATGCGGAATGCGGAAAGCAGGAAAATGACTGCTATGAATATTGATTGTTAGTGATATCACGAGATCATATAAATATGAATATTATCCTATTATACTTGTGTTTTGAACATCAAGTATCACTTGGTTGTCTTTTTTTTCCAACTCAAGCTAACCAACATGGAAGTGATGACAATATGAAAAGCGCTTCTCAAATAGGAACGGTCAGGTAAATATTACCAAATCGCAACTTCTTGAATGGTACAAGACAAGCATGCTCTTTTTCAAAAGGAAAGAGCTGCCTTTGGAGGTTCACTTACAGCCATCGACAAGAATGACATCTTGAGATAAATTCATCTTCTCATCGGGCAATCTGTGAAATCTCCTCTTCTTGGACAATCAAATTCTCTCTGCACGGCGCTAAGTTGGCCTCGAGAAACGACTGAATGTACCACCTTCTCCTGACAAATCAGCGTCTTGTTTTTGAATCTTCAAAGAACGAAGTCAATTATATCTCCACCAAATCACGACTTTGAGCGACACACGACGGCAGGGCTTTTATTCAATGAGACTCAAGCTACCACTCTTGCCTTCTCTATTGCTTAATATCTACCAAGTCAACTCTATGCGACCTCGAAATGATCTCACAACAATCGCACCTTCAGTCCTTCAACAGAACTCCGGGTGTGCCTTAGTTAGCTCCACACTCTTCAAATGCGAATCGATCAGTCCCGGCTTTACCTCTCTTGTCCCATCAGCACAAGCACAATGTCTGTGTTATGATTCTTCCAAATGGATTCCGACAATTTTTGACAAAGCGGTGCAGACGTGTGCCGATTTTGCAAGTACAGCCGTGCCAAGCGCATACCCGGCATTTGTTAACTTGGAGGGATTTTGCGGTAATATTGGAAATATAATGACGACAATGGGGCCTGCTACCATCTCTCCCATTACGACTTTTGAATCATCAATTACGACTCCAAAAATCCATAGTGTGATACCAGCTTGCAATACTGCTTTATCTCTGATACAATCTTGTGTTGGCCTGCTTCCAGGGTTTATGGCTTTGGGTCCTTCTCAGCAGGCTTCATGCCTGTGTTACGCGAGTGTCACATCCTGGATCCCAAAGTCCTTTGACAATGCTATGGAGACTTGTTCACAATTTGCGCAAAGTGAAAGTGGGATTGCAGGGCTAGTCTCGACAGTTGATATGTTCAATGGTATTTGTGGAAGTATGGGAGATGTCTGGACAATGGAGGGGCACGTTTCATCTATGGTCACCTCGCACCCTATAACGTCTGATGTGGGCTTGGCTCCCTCGACTTCCATAAACTCCCCATCACCAGCCAGTATACCTGGATCTACTAGTTCGGTAATATCAACCATTGCTATTCGTTCCTCGACCCAGACCACGCGTTCAATTGTGAAAACAATCTCGGTCACAACATTAAGTAAATCAATGATCAGTACAACTTCAATGCCTGGACCTGAAGGAATTGACACTAATCAAGACGGAAATCAAGAACTGAAAGATGTCAGTGATCCGATGGTTATCTTGATTAGTTTTGCATGTGCAGCGTTGGTGCTTTTTTTATGCTAGTTCCTGCCTTGAGCAGGAAAGTAGCCATTGTATTGAGGCAAATGAGATCGGCGAGAACACCAAGAGGGATGATATAGATCATCGAACGATAGGAGGTATCTGGGCTGTAAAGCTCTGGGAACGGTGTTGAAAGTTGGGACGGGCACATGGTAGGAGCCAAAGAGTAACTATTGGCGCATTTCGGATATGGCATTTACTCGATGAGATGTGATTTTAGTATCAATTTATAACTGAGGGAGTGGATCGAGAAGTTTAAATGCTAACCCGGTCTGTTCTGTCATGATATGGGCGTACCTCGTTCATGTGTCCGACCATGAGGCTTCAAATCTGTTTGACACTTCATACATCTTGAAGCATTCAACTAGGTTGGTCGATGTACCTCGGGTTAGCTCAAAGATACAATTCAAATAAAAATCACGAAACTCAAGTCGCACGAAGTGAAATTTATCATGTGAAAAAGTGGTATCATACACGTCCATTAGTCTCTACTTTATTTGGCAAGCCGGCACCGCGGCTTGGACCCCATTCCCACTTTCTAACCTCCTGTGTGACTTTTGACTTCCATGAGACCTCGGACTAAGCCACACGTCACTCTTGACATCCATGGTTTGACTTATACTCGGATGTAGAGGTGGTGATTCTCGTCCGTTGCTCGATATTACTGTCGTCGTGAATCCGACAATGGCGAGATCGGGCCTGAGACTTAGTTCCGTGTCGTACATTTTTGTTCGCCTTCGGTGCATTCCATCCATCATGCGCGTGTGAAGGCCTCCAGATGATCCGATCGATTTCTCCGACCAGTCAAGGAATGAGCGGATAAGAGGCTTGAGTGTCGCTAAGCAACAGGCTATGAGCCCGACAGCTGCTTCGACAATTGAGAGGATAACAACATCACTGATATGGGGTTAATAGGTGGAATTGTAAACGGAAAATAATGTGTGAGGGGAAACATACGCTATTGAATAGAGATAATCGCTGGTATGCAAGAGATCGTTAATGTATGCGATTCTTGTGAGGGTGCACACGCTAGCACTGGTAGTCTGTCAGTATCTGTCGAAGCAACCTCTATCGATTTGGCAAATGAACAACGTCGCTTACATGGAGCCCAATGCTAAAGTCATTGCGACCGCTGCTTTTGTTCTTGTTGTGATTTGAAGATCCGCCACAATAAACGCCGGAATTATCCCCAGAGTAAGATCTGTCAAGACGTTCACGACTCCATGGCCATATGCCATAGCTGCTATCGTAGAGCCCTCTAAACAATGCCCATCGGTTGCTCCTTCAAATCGCCTCCAGTAGAATGAGATCGGTCTACATTGAAGTAACAAGAAAATGAAAAAAACTGTGGTGTACAAGAGGAAGATTGTCATGGAGATATAGATGGTGTATATATGAACTGGCTTCACGGCGATGCGGACGAGATAAAGAGCGATGGATGTCTTGATAACAGCTATAGTAGGAGGGTATATGATTTCCGAATAACACCACCACTAAAGAAAGATGTCAGAAAATGTAAAGCCGTGACTTGGTAACGAGAAGCATACTTTTAATCCGCGCAAGTAATGCTCCATGGTCATGCTATCGATGTGTTGTCCAAACCCCGAATTAATTCCCAACATGGTAAAAACAACTCCAACGCACAAAAGAAACTATGTGATGTCAGCATATAGGTACCCTTCCAAACCCTGCGTGATAGATATTACCAAAGAGCAAACTGCAATGGCATCATCAGCACCAAATGCCTTCAGCAACCTAGTTCGAACATAGCATCGTAAAGCAACCGCCACACACGCAACCCCAGAGAACAGCAATGTAATGATTAGAATTTCATCTTGTTTGTCTGAAGCTTCTGTCACCATCTCGGCAGCTTAAGAAGTGCAAAGAAAGGTGAAGATTGACCAGCCTAGTGATTCACTGGGAAAAAATTACAAAATCAAGACGATCGTCAAGAATGGGAGAAGATTTCTTGCTTTTTCATTTGTTTATACTTTTGCGCACTACCGGCAATGATAATGTGCTCCCCGAAGCTCTGTTTCTTGACATCTTGCGGGTATTCTTCGATATTGTATGGGGATAGAGCACAGATGGTCATTCCTTAATGATAACGTTGGTCCCTGTTTTGATATAAAAGGAAGTGATGGATCCGCTATTTTCATCAGTCACAATCATTCTACGCATATTGACCCCGAATTCTAGAATAATGCTTCTTCTTGTTGACTCCCTTCGTTCCATACCCAACGCTCAGGATTGGAAAAGAAAGAAATTTGAATATACCAAGTACCTTAATGTGGCTGAATAAGGTCGATATGTGGGTCTCTGTATATTTCTAGGCCAACCCACTCAATTTGACCCGCTCTCAAGCCGCTGAGCGTTGAGGTATCCACATGGACGTCCACATGGAAGTACCTATACTCCGTATACTCCGTACTTGGTAGACGTAGCACTGGTCTCAGAGTGAGACGACAAGATTGATTGACCTTGGATTTTCGAAATCCATAGAACTCCACGGGAAAAAGTGGTTTGAGCAAGATCGGATCGGAGCAGTAACGTTAGATTAAATGCCGATTAAGATTGGACAGTCATCTAACTCTCTTGATGCTGCACCGCCTGTTCATAAGCAGCCTATAGATCCTGAAGTTTATCTGAACATTTAAACCATACCGCCTTATAATTTGCGCAGGGTAAAACAACACGAACTTACGAAGTGATAAATATCGGAATAATACCGGCGAGTATGCTATCGAAGAACAAGAAATATTATCCTGAACCCTGTGTTACCCCTGTGTTCAAATAATTAATGATACCTTGGCTAACTTTGCCATGGAAAAGGAGGAAATGAAGGTCGAGATACAATTCTTCCAAAGATGTCGAAGAAACAATGGAAGAGTCAATGGGCATCTTTGATTTTTCAAGTAATACAAGATGTCGAGATCGAGACTACTCATGACAGCCTTCATATTTTATCAGATTGATTCAATCCGGCAATTCATTCGCGACAAACCAGTAGGATAGATGGGAAACGGGATGCGAAAGAGCCGCGTAATATTCAATGAAATTTTTGATGAATGAAATGAATCGACTTGTGAAGTTGTGAAGTGTTCGCATTGACATGGATAGCATAGATCTAAGAGTGATCCCTCCTGAGAACCACAACCTGTCAGAACATATCGTTTTAACGGCGCGTCGAGGGAATCGGGATCAATCTTCTCCAAGATGCCAAGATGCTTGAACGATGATGAGCATCAAATTTCCCCAGTATGGATAATCAATACTAGGGAGAGTTTCTGCCTTTGTTAGTCCTCCAATGTTCCTGGCGAACCAGAGTAGAATCAGTAGATAAATCAATACATATAAACTTTCCCAATACAAGTTTCTTGATTTAATCAAAAAGATCTCTCACAACTGCCGGAGAACTGGAAGAAGAGGTTTGTAGTACTTTATATATATTTTGGCCGTCATTACGCAGAATAACATGAAAGTATGCCTCAGAAGAATCAAGAAATGATAGCTTTTGTTGACTATGTACAGCCGTGCGAGGACTGCCTGTTCAACTACCTCATATATGAGGTCGCAAACTCCCTTACAAGTACTCCGTAGAAATGAATTCTAGGTCTACTTGAGATGAATTACAATTGATGAGAAATCTAAAGGGCACCCGAATGGTTTTTGTGCTGATGTCGTTTATTCATACCGCCAAAGCATCCGAAAAAAGGGACCAACTAACTAGACAAGGACGTAGCTTCCGTTGTAACCGAAGAAGATCACCTTTGGGCACGTGAGGAGCCACTCCATCTTTATGTCCTTTTGGTGGCATGACTATCATTCTTTTGACATATGTTTCAGTTTTCGGGGTGCGCGATCGGAACGAGCCGCTCAAAGAAGTAAGAACGAGACTCATTTCTCAGGGTGGAGAAAAGATCGTATGACATTGATGAATCAAAGTTAAGTTGCGGCAAGCATCCAGAGTAGGGATATTTGAACTCCAATGATAGCTACCGACATCCATCATTTAGAATATGAGAATAGACAGTGACGTACGCTAAGCCAATTGAAAGATGCGATAAACAAGTAGAAGCATTAAGGCAAGTAGGTGATATATAAACAAACGAGCAGCTGCCAAAAAAGGCAAATATGAGTACGAGGGAATCCCGGGGCCCCTTTGAATGTTTCTTGATTGTGAGCTAAGAATACTGAGAGACAACAAACTCAACACAGGTAGCCGTCGAGACTCGATAGTACCTAGCAGTGCAGGTGTTGTCGACTTGCTGGAAACTTTCAGGGGAAGAAACATTTAGAGAGACAGAATATCCATGGATGCCATATAATACCTACCTACAGATACACATGTGGCTGAAGGATTACCTAATCCGAGGATATGGATCACCAGTGGATGTCTCAATGTGGCGCAATTCTATGATAAGAACTCCAGCTATCAAGATTTTCCAATGGTTTCCAACATCTTCAATCCAAAGAGTTGAAGGAGGATCGTTTGTTGTTTCATCCTTATTGCAAAACAGAGTTCGCGTTGTGAAGGGCTGTTTCTAGGAACCAGATCGTTAGAGAGTGGTTAGCAATAGATAGCAAGCTTTTAAGTAAAAGCTGCATCTCTGCTTGAATTTTCAAAACCACAGGGAAAAGCACCACAGGGTAGAGATTCATAGTCGTCTTGATGACAAACCACTATCAACATAGCCATGTCATTTTTTAACCCTTTTGTCGGTACTTCTCGATCTGGCGATGCTTGGTTTCTGGCCGGCCCTACATCTTCCTTTCCGAATATTACAGCCTCCGGAGATACTGTCCTATCCGATCGCTTACCATGCAAAGGTTCTTTCGCACCTGGTTGCAAAGTCTTTCATGTACCTGTTACCAATAGTACTCAAGCAGTTGAAGTCGAGCTTGATGATGCCGTAGCAGCTGGACCCAAGGAGCAAGTTATAGTGTTTCAATACCAAGGCAAGTTTCATGCCGTTGATCATGTAAGTTTAGTTTACTTATTCCTGTTCCATGAAAAGACTGAGAGTATATTTCCAAGGGAAATTTGATGAATCACTACTGAATAATTGGTAGAGCTGTCCACATTCCTCTTTTCCACTTTCACGAGGCACACCGTTTGACATTGAGGATTTTGGCATACGATTGAGTGTAGGAATACAATGTCCAAAACATGACTGGTCTTTTGATTTGATTCATGGCAAAGGTGACCGAGGAAGTTATAAGTTGAAAGTCTGGGAAGTTCAACTACGACCGATTTCTGGGGCGGAGAATGAAGAGAGGGAGGTTTGGGTTAGAAGGAAGCAAAGGATAGGATGAGTGTCATTTGAGCCCGAATGCCAGGTTGAGATGGATATCAATCCGCCGAGGGAGAGGGGGAGAATTGACTTCTATGGACGATCAAACTGGGTTTGTTATGAGGTGCACGCTAGAATTTTAGCCATGCTGGTCATGGACGCAGAAATCTGTCAGTAGCAGGACGCTCATGACCCCCCTCGATTTTCTAATCTGACTATCTGTGGTATATAATTCAAAATACGGCAAATTACTCTCATGCTCCTCAAATGTCATTTAATTATTCTCACGCCTTAAAATTGAAAGGTAATTTATTTTCATGCCTTTTAGATTCTATGATAGAATCTGTCCATTTTAGACTAGATTCTATAATGGAGGAAGAGTAGATTCTATAATAGGAGGCTAGATTCTATAGTAAGAGAATAGATTCTATAAAAGGAGGCTAGATTCTATAGTAGGAGAATAGAATCTATGAGAGGAGACTCGATTCTATTTGTTTTAGATTAGATTCTATAGTAGAAAAATAGAATCTATAAATAGATTCTAGTTATGTTATTTCTTTTCCTTTCAATTTTTTTAATTGTTATAATAAAGTAAATTCTATTATAGATTCTATATAGATTCTATACTATAGAATCTAAGGGGCATGAGAGTAAATCATCTCTCAATTTCAGGGCATGAGAGTAATCAAATGACTTTTGAAGGGCATGAGAGTAATTTGCCTTTCAAAATAACATGAGTAGGTAGATAGCAAAACTTTAATAAAGTATTGAATCCAGGCTTTAGATTATCTGATCGATTAAAGTTTTGCTTACAACAAAACAAGTGGGGTTACGCGGCAACGCGGGGTTTGCGGGAGATTGCCAACGCGGTAAAACGCGCCGGAAGAATTATGAATGCCTTCGGCCGAGTACCTGTCAAGTACCTATACCCATTACACGTCTTGGAAAACACACGTAGATAAACATCGGTCAATAATTCACCGAAAATATTTTCCGATGATGAACCGAATGTCGGAGGAATATATGTTGGCTGGTTATCTCATGATCCTTTATATACCGCCTCTACCGCCCCAAATTCCTGCTTTCTTATTCACGAGTAGTCATCCGAATCTACCCTCCTGAAGCCCATTGACCCAGTTGTCGAGCAGTAAATACCCTCCGTGATCTCGACCATCGATCGATTAACTCGTACTTTCCAATACTCCCAAAATGGTTCGCAATCTTGGATTCCTTTTAACCGGTCTGGCTACTACATTGTTCGCATCCCCTGTTTACAGCGTAGCACCACCGGCATTTCTACTCGCCGGTGATTCAACAACGGCCATTCAAAATGCAGGTTTGACAGGTGGTGGATGGGGTAATGGTTTTCTAGCTACACTTCGCAATGGAGCTGGAGGTATCAATTATGGACACAATGGTGCAACGACTGTAAGCTTCGTCAATGGTGGCGATTGGGCAAAAGTATTGGCATCTGTAGCAAAGTATAAGGCAGACTATACAACTTTTGTTACAATTCAAGTAAGTTTTGGCGAACGGCGGAGAGAAAAAAGTGATAAGATAGTGCTGACCTGTGAAACTAGTTTGGTCACAATGATCAAAAGGCAACAGCAAACATCTCAGTTGCGGAGTACATGACCAATTTGAAGAACATGGCGGAGGATGTAGTAGCGGCTGGTGGAACTCCAGTAAGTCAATACTCTTTCATAGACTTGAGTCTCTACAATGGGGGATATTCAAATGCCTCTTTTATGTTGGTATCGAAAACATGGAGGGTTATCCATTGGAGACCAGAAAATACGGCAGAGGGGTGCCAGCGACAATCTCAATATACAACAGAGTTAATTAACCTGGGTACTTAGATCCTCGTCACTTCTCTGACCCGTCGAAGCTTCAATAGTTCAGGTCTTGCTAAAGAAGATCTTGCCGTACAAGCCAATGCTACCATAGCCGTTGCTAAATCGATCGGATCCTTATACATAGATCTTAACCGCGCATCCACAGACTATGTCGATGCTATTGGGGCGACCGATGCTGCGACGTATAACTTGACACCAACGGATTTCACACACATTAATGCTGCCGGAAGTGTTTTGTTCGGAAACATTGTCAGTGGATTGATCGATGTTGCCGTGGGCAAGTCATTGGGTTTCGATATTGAGACTTATACCACGCCAAATGCGACAATTGCAAAGGATGTTGCCAGTGGGACTTATATATTCCCGAGTGGATTTGGAACTCTACCAAACAACACCCTTCCAGCATAGGATTCTCGTATGATGAAATAACGTTTTGGGAATTGTGTATGCTTTGAGATTTCTTTTCTGGAAACTGTATATACTACGATATGAGATTTAATGAAACGGAGATAATTATTTTACTAAATTGTTTGGTCGTGCCTTTGTTCTCCAATACAATCTAATATTAGACGAAAAGCTCTTCTGGGAGATGGAAGAAATAACGGCGGGCGATGGTATTTCAGCCCGGAAGAGACCATCACGGATGCCATATATGAAATAATGCTGAGAATTAGAACTACTTGGAACTACTTGAAAACGCACCTCTCATACGACATTACATCATTCAAAATTGAATTTAAGTGAAATATCACAGATGCTCGACATGACATAATGAGCTCTCAAGGCTGATTGAATGTATATTACCTAGTACGTTCAAATTAAGTTGTGGCGTGTGAGCACTAGACCCGGAATACCCATAGGCTTGTTCAGAGCCAAGTAAGCCTACCGTCCTTCGGATGCACGAAAAGGCTTGTATGTAATGGAAAGAAAGTAAGCAGATAATCCGTCAAGACGATATCTTACATAGCCAAATTCAACATAAGTTTGGAATTGTATCTTTTCTTGATAGATCCTATAATTATTGTTCTCACATCAACCTTGATGCATCATGTCCTGAGTTTTATGGGAAACCGGCCCCTGACTTGACACTGGCAATCAACGTGATGGAAAATTATCTTCCATCACCAACTTTATTTAAATAATATTACATGGACTCATCAACTAAGTTTCGGGATGTCGGCAGAATACGAAATTAACTGCAATCATCTAATGATTCCTTGCCATTGCACCTTTTGAAGTCAAGTAGGATTCTGTAGGAAATGCCGAATGCAGATGTTAACCCCCGTATATGCATTCTCTTCAATGAGGAGAGAACATTACATATAGAGACTTTGAACTTTCTCATATTGTAACGTTACTTTACTTTGTGCCGCCGCCAACTGCATGTTTCCAATACGAACATGATCAATTCCCCTTTGAGTTCGTGGAAACTTTCTATACATATTGTTCGGATGTTTTCCGATATACGTGCCAATGCGAGCATGATTCCGATACATCCTGAATTCTGGTAAAACTCCCTCAGGGCTGACGTTTTGATATCATTGGGCTTCCTCATAAATGTTGGCAGATTGGGGTTTCAACTTCACACCCCGTACAAATGCCGGATCTCGGACTGGCGGACACTTAAATTGAATCAGTCGATATCCTCTTACATGTACTTGCCACCGATATCATATCATTCCATCACTAACAGCCAGACAATCAACGGCTAACTATCAAATCCCGAAGACTTCCCACTATTATCGACGTTTGCACTCTTGATATGCTTTCCTACACTTTCCACTTTGTTCACTTCTTACGTATGGACTATGTTCGTTCTCTTTAATTGTTCACCACCATTTTTCTAATTCTATGGAAAATTTTCAATGATTGTGGAGTTTTAAAAAGCACGTCATTTTCAAAAATGCTGTTGTGACTTTGCAATCATCTAAATAGGAATCTTTTCTCCGATATATGAATAATACTTTTTCATCGGTTTGGTCGAGAATTCAATTAAGCTTAAAATGTTAGTATACCAGTGATGTGTATTCTTTACCCCCTTCATTTATGTTCAGCATTAAACGAACAAATAAAATCATTCATTATTCATGATATATCCATACTTTATTCAACTTGTACCCACAACGGTCAAATCTCAACACCAAAATCTTGATCCGTGAGATCTAAAATCCCTACCAGTATTGTTAGCTCGATCACTTCTTAAGAATTCTACGTCCCGTTAAACCCCCACCGCTGTGGGCTATTCACGGGTGTACTAAGGGACCTTAGCACGGCCAGTTCCACGAATCGAAATGATATTCGTTTGGTAATCTAATAATTAGGTAGTATGCGATAAGAATGGCAAATGGTGCAATACCGATGGATCAATTTTTTCCATGTCGAACACGCTTAGTGGCGGTATGAGACTTCTTTTGCGTATATACTAGTTCTTGTAACTTTTGCCATGCCTCACTTACATTTCACATCTCTTGGTATTTTCTCTTGTTACAACATTCAGTCTTGGAGAAATGGGGTTTTCATCTTTGAGAAGCCGCCTCTTTCCTCGGCAGCAGGAGGACAACATCACCCCCGCATCTGTCGATCATGAAAATGATGGGGTAGCATCGAGTGTTACTGGCACTGACGAAATCAGTAAATCCATTGAGGAAAATGGTAATCCAACTGAGAAAATCGATCCCGAAACAAATGTCAAAGAGTCCTCACCTATGGTCGAAAGTTCACCTCTCGACATCGAAAAGGCGACACCAACATCAGGAAGGTTTGGTGATGATGATCCATTGCTTAAGGATATTCCATGGCAAGTTCGCCGAATTGTCAGTCTCGAGGATGATCCTACCGAACCTACAATCACGTTCCGCTATTTTCTTCTGACTTTGATATTCGTCGCACCGGGAGCTTTCTTATCACAAATGAGCCATTTCCGTACGACATCCGCTCCATACTCCGTCTTCTTCGTTCAAATCTGTTCGAATTATGTTGGTGTTTGGCTAGCAAAGGTTCTTCCAGCCAAGACCATCTGGTTACCATTTGGAGGAAGCTTTAGTCTGAATCCAGGTCCATGGGGAACAAAGGAACATGTGTTGGTTACCATTTCTGCAGCATCTGGTGCCACTTACAACTTGGCCTACGCCCCAATTTCTATCGCCGAGCTCTACTTTGGAATCACCATTAATCCAGCAGTTGCGATATTCTTTATGTGGTCCGTAGTATACATTGGGTATTCTTTCGCAGCCATTGCTAGACAATTCTTGCTCTATGATCCTGTATACCCATGGTATCAAGCGTAAGTTCAAGACTTTTTTCGACGTCCTTTTAATCATACTGCTCCTGTCTCAACTAGGCTTGTACACTGCTCTATTCCAGCTTGTTCTTTTGCAGCGGGACGTAGTGAGAATGTTAGAGAATGATGATCGCTAACTTCGAATCTCAATAGACTCTGTCAGACTGCTCTATTTGAAACTCAAAAGAAGCAGAGACAACATCCATCCCGTGTTTCAAAGAAACAGATGAAAGTATTCTTTGGAGTTCTTGCAGGAATCACTTTATGGCAATTCCTCCCAGAGTTCGTGTTTCCAATGCTTGGGTCCTTGGCATTCCTCTGTTGGGTTGCCCCAAAGAACAAGGTTGCGAATTTCATGGGCTCAGGTTTGGGGGGAATGGGCTTCTTAAATCTGACACTTGATTGGTCAAGTATTGCTAGTTTGAGTAATTCCAACAGCTTGTTTGTAACTCCTTGGTGGACTCAAGTAATTATCTTTTTGGCTTTTGTAGTCAACTGTTGGATATTGCTTCCAGCCGCCAAATGGGGAAGTCTGGGTAGTTGGAAGCTTGAATTGATGTCTAATCGTCTCTTCATGGGTATGTCACATGCCCCGAATGATGTTCTGATAAATACTAATGCATCATCAGAAAACGGAACTTCCTATCCTACCACTAAGCTCATCACTCCTCAAGCCACACTAAATGAAACTGCTTACGAGGAGTATGGGCCTATCTACGTCGGTACTCAACAACTTTGGAACATGTTCTTTGATTATGCAGCATACACTTCCGGTATCAGTTGGATTTGTTTCTTTGGATTTGCACAGATCAGAGACACACTTAAGAAATTGAACGCTCGTCGTAAGAACAAAGTCGAGGGAGAAACCATCAACCACCAATATGGCGATCAATTGAATGTCCTCCAACGTTCTTATAAAGAAGTGCCATGGTGGTGGTCATTGATCCTCTTCCTTGTCACCTTTGTCGTTATGATGGTAATCTTGGGCACCGGTAATCTTTTTATTCCCTTATGGACATATTTCATCGCCGTTCTTACAGGTGTTGTGGTCGTTGTCCCACTTGGCTGGCTATATGCCCTTTCCAACTTCCAACTTCCAATCGGTACCTTCAACGAACTCTTGTATGGCCTGATGGTTAACGCGGTCGACGGACACAAGAATCCTTCGGGTGCATCGGTATACTCGTCCCTCGCTGGTGATGCATGGTATCGTGCACAGCTGATGCTTCAAGATCAGAAGATTGGTCACTATATGCATATTCCTCCTCGAGACACCTTCTTTGCCCAAGTCTTCGGCTGTTTCATTGGTATTCCAATCAATTATGGTGTCGTAAAATGGGTGCTCAGTTCAAAAGCGGATTATTTGAGTGGTGCTGTAACAGATCCAACACATCAATGGACTGGACAAGGTCTCGCTACTACGTTGACTACCAGCACGCAATATGTTCTCATCGGACCTCTACGCCTTTTCCAGTTGCCTATTTTCAAACCCCTTCCATACGGGTTCCTTGTTGGAGCAATTTGCCCACCCATCATTTATATTCTCCACCGTCGCTTTCCCAAAGCTAAATTTCATCTCTTCAATACCACCATTTTCTTCTCCGGTCTTTCTACGTTCTACGGAAACATTTCCACCGGATACACTTCTTCCATTATTGGTGGTTTCATTGTCGCCTACTGGGCGTACAGATATAGATATGAGATGTGGGCACGATATAATTACATCCTTGCCGCTGCTTTCGATGCAGGATTCAATTTGAACATGTTATTGATTTTCTTGTTCTTTGGCGCAGGAAAAGTCGTTACCATGCCAAATTGGTGGGGTAATAATGCAGATAGTACAGATAGATGTTTTGCTTTGGAGTAATTTGGGTATATGATGGTGTGGTTTATGGATATGAAAGATTCCCTGGATGAACGTGGTGTTATGAAACTTGATTCGAGATAATGATAATGAAGATATTTGATTAAAAATGTTATGATTCTATTTGAATTACCCTGTGCGTGTGACTCCTTACTTATTGCAAGATAGCACTATCTTTTCGGACTGCATCACCCCCACTATTCGCTGTGTTGTTAACACCAGTCCCATTCTTCAAATAACAAAACTCCCTGTCCTTTATTACCATACTGACTGCCCTACATAAGCCCCCTCCTACGTCGATCCCACCTTGTAGATTGGTAGAATAACCCGCGTTATACTCTGCGCAGGCCATCATACACTGAGTTAGATCCGGCATATATATCTTCATGATGTCGTAAATTCTTGGATTTCCATATTGAGCGCCAGACAGATAGTTTGTGTAACAAGCGACGCGAAAAGTCTGCGCTATGCCTGATAAGTTGATAGCTGAACCCTCTGAAGAGAGGGGCTGAACGAGAGAATCATTAACTGTGGAAAATTCATCGGAGCAATGGGATGTTGGCGCAGTCGATACTGATGGATTAGACGGCGTGGATGACGTCGTAGACGATGAAGCTATATTTGAATTATCTATTATCAATCCTGAGCTTGTCGTTGAAGGTACTATCGAGTCTACGATACTCGTCGAATATTTGACGTTTGTTGTTGTCGAGCATACCCAAGCGGCAGAATTCTCCACCCCCGGACTTGTGTTGATACCTGTGCTAAGATGATGGATTAACAGCAATCCATAAATGTCTCATAGGCTTAAGCTCCCTCTTGCAATTATTCCTCTGTGCCGCAATTCCAGCTACTACACCTCCACTTATTCCACCTCCGACAATGAGACATAGCAAGACGACCAGAGCCCAAAATGTTCCAATCGATAGCCCCGCGATTTGCCTACGCTCTAATATTGCAACTTTTTCGTCCTGTATTCCAGCGTGGGTCTCCTGTGATGACCATGGCCATGTGTTCCCTGAAGAAGCATCTTGCACTTCAAGACCTGGTTGAGTCTCAACAGATGTGTTCAAACATAAACCACTTGTCGAAAAAAATTGCTTGTAGGTATCCATCGGTGTGATATTATAGAAAGATGTCTGAAAACATTCAGTAAGAAAGATCAAAGAAGTATCTAGTTTGCATGATGTGGGCAGTGAGATTCTACCGAAGATTTGCTAAATCTAAAAATATTCATTGAAAGCAAAAGGAATAGAGACGAATGAGGTGGTAGTGACTCCTTATACGATAACTCGTCGAATATCCCCGAGAAACATTTTTAAGCGCCGATTCATTCCATCGAATCTGCGGCTGGAAAACTTTTGATATGAATTTCTGGGAAGAGACCAATGAGAAGGAGACATCTTGAAGTTCAAGAATGTATCGCTGAAGGATTTCGACTCTGAAACAAGTACGGAGATTTCGAAGCTCAAGCCTTGTGAGATTGGGGTACAAAAATATATTTGTATAAGCTTTGTAGGGAGAGGTTTCTGAAAGACAGAACAATGCAACGTTCTGTAAAACAAATTTGAGGGACAAGCCAAGTAGATCAACTTCCTGAGCATTCACTTAGAGTCAGGTAGTATGAAGATGAGAACACACGAGACCCGCGAGTACTGACTACAGTGATGAACGAGAAAGACTAGAATCAAGTAGTACGTGTATACTATGAATGAAGAGATATCAATCTTCTTAGATTGGTAAATATCATATCGGGGGCTCAGCTCCCTAGATTTTCCTTCGTGAATGTTGAGGGAAATCATCCTCCTTTGAATAGATATTGAGAATGAGAAGGTCATCTGGTAGTAGATAATGAGCTGACTAATAACCCCACATCTAATCTTATCTAATCTACGAAGTCTACCATAACCTTAAGATCAACAAAAATAATTTGTTACCAAAGCTTTTTGAGCTTCACGAATTGGGAACTTTCAAGAAACACTTGTATCATTCACATCATTGCCTCATACAAGTCCCCCACCTCAACAGAGAGTCCTTCGCATAACCTCTGGTTCATAAAGATTTCATATACTTCGCAAGCTTGTATACGCGCACATCCCATTACATACTCCTTTTGACGCCCTTCTCAAGATCACAATCATGCCTCTCGACACATCAACCTACTCTCTTGCTCTTCTCCGTCTTGACGGTCGCAGATGGAACGAACTTCGCCGTCTTACAGCACAAATTTCAACTCAACCTTCATCCGATGGATCTTCGTATCTTTCAATGGGTAATACCCAAGTTCTCTGCACAGTGACTGGGCCTTGCGATCCCTCAAAATTACGATCAATTGGCGGTGGTGGGAGTAACAATGCGGGGGAAAAAGCGGAAGTAAGAGTGGAGATCAGTTTCGCAGGCTTCGCAGGCGTGGATAGGAAGAAGTATGGTAGGAATGATAAGTGAGTCTCCTTCAATTCTTTAACTCGCTACGTATTGCGAATCTCAACTCTACTGGCTCGAGCGGAACGGAAACTAATCAGGTTCGCTGCAGACGTATCCAAGAACTTTCAAGTACCTTATCCACAACCTTCACTCCTCATCTTCTTACTACTTTGACTTCTCATTCGACAATCCTCATTTCCCTTCACATTTTGTCATTAGATGGCTCGCTTCTCTCAGCCCTTATCAATGCCTCGACTCTTGCTTTAATCGACGCTGGTATTCCAATGCCTTCTTATATTTGCGCTTGTACAGCTGGCTCTACATCTTCATATTCGAGTAATGATGAGAAAGCAGACCCGTTGTTGGACTTAAATTTGGGCGAGGAGCAAGAATTACCGTTCCTCACGGTTGCAACTGCTGGAGAAGGCGATGGTGACGGAGTTGTGACATTGGTCATGGAGACAAGAGTACAAGCCGGTAGATTGGAGGGCATGCTGGCCGTGGGAGTAGATGGGTGTAAACAGGTCAGAGAGATTCTAGATGGGGTGATTAGAACTAGAGGGAAGAAAATATTAAGTGGTGCAATGGCTTAGTAGGGCCAGATCTGTAAATCATACGAGGGAAGAACAGCATCATTAGATGATACCCAAGTGTTTTAATGGCGTCATAATGGAAATGGGATAGGATGGCAGGAATGGAAGAACTTTACATCAAGGGAACCGTTTGATGGCTAATAGAAGTCTAGCGCACGCCTCATTTATTAACAAAATGAATGATGATATTTTTTTTTTACTATTACTATGCAAACTGTAAACAAATGCCGCAAACTACCGCTCTAGGAGAACTCGTGAGACCGTATTCCTCCTAAGAACTCCATAATTCCCTCACAAAGACCTACTTAACCTACTTAAAGTTCTCCGTGTTTGATCTCGAGCTCTGGGGTTGGTGGTTCCCAATCTTCCGGAAGCTCCTCTATGACAATCATAGGCTCATCTGCAGCTTTTGGTTCTGGTTCCGGAGCTGCTTCTTCCACAACAGTCTCCTCAACTTCTTCAGGAATGAGTCTCTCGGGGATCTTCTTTTTCTCGCCTTCACCCAATCTGATGGCGTCAACCCAATTCTCAATTGCTTCGATTGTCACATCCTCGGAAACTAGGGAGTCGCCCTTGCTAGGGAGAGCTCGATACCAGTTTCGTCGTCCATTGAGAGCAATAATTTCAGCATCGCCTTTCAGCCCTAAAGATTCTTTGACTTGGGAGAACCCAGGGTTTTCGGCTTGTAGGATGTAGAATGGGAACAACTTTCGTTGATGTAGATGATGTTTATGGGAAACTTCGGCTAATGAAGTAGAAGCTAAGCCCGTAATCTCGTTCGAGGTACCTGGAAGAAGCGCAAGAATGCATGTACCGGTTTTAGAACCAAGACAATTCTCTTTTAGGTCGGCTTCAGAAGTAAGAATAGGAATTGCAGGCGCTGGTGGAAGTACAATTGGTTTCTCTGTTTCAACTTCTGGCGATGGTGATTCAGTGGGTTGATTTTCCAATGTTTCATCTGTTTGAGTGACAGGCTTTTCGAATTTGGCGTGAGATTCCGATGCTGCTTCGAAAGATTCCCTTGCTTTTGCGGATGACTTTTTGTTTGCTTTGGATTTGGAAGTTTTCGCTTTGGCTGCTGGTGGATCTGGATTAGGCTCGGCAGCCTGTGTAAGAAATTTGACCATGCCATCTTTCTTTAATTCCCCATCATACACAATTCCTTCGGCTGCTTCCCCGCCAGGCAACAAAATAAGTGTAGGAAATTCAGTGATGCCAAATAACTCAATGGAAGCTTTCTCTGTGTTTCTGATCTGTGCCACCTTGATACTGCCCTTGAAATCAATGGCAATGGCTTTCAATGTTGCGCTTGTCTTTCCTTTGTCGGTGAATAAAATTGCCTTCGCAGTGTCGTTCGCATCGGCCAGGAAACTCTCCAAATCTTTATCTGTAACTTTCTTTACAAGATTTGGAATTTTATCGACTACTGCATCTACAATTCCTTTCGCAGTTCGTGGTCCATTGTAATCTTCAACGATTGGCTTTCCGGGTTTGCTTCCTGGTTTAACAATCTTGAGAGTAGGGAAACCTTGAACACCGAATCCTCCGCAGAAAGCTTTATTCGATTCTTCATCGCAATTGACCGCTGCTACTTTCGCGAGACCAGCGAGACTCTTGGCGGCTTTTTCGTAAGCTGGTTGAAGGTTCTTGCAATGTCCACACCATGGAGCATAAAATTCGACGATCTGTACGATAGACGGTTAACAACTGATGTGCCAACAGAATTATTGAGGATCAGCGGAATACTTACGGAAGTATGGTTCGATTGAGCAATCATACGATCATAGTCCTTTCCATTGATTGACAAAACAGCTGAACTCTTAGGGTACAATCCAGCATGAACTGCGGGCAAAGCACACAATAAAGCCGCAGCTGCAGCTGCAGTTGACATGACTCCAGTATTAACCATTTTAGATAGTTGTAAATTGTAATTACTACGCGTAGCTGTAGGAGCTATTGAATTTTATCAATACATGTAAGAAGAAAACAGGGTGGCAGTACGTGGAGGTGTTGTTGTATTTATGTATGCGAAAAGGCCACAGTCGCAAGATGTGTATTACGAGGTGGATGAATTTGGATGAGGTATCATTATTAAATGAAATCCGGGGTAAAATACCGACAGAGTTACTAGGCTTCCCGTCCGTACTGCTACTTTAGTATCGATTGAGCGGTGAAATGGCAGAATTCAATTAGTGAGGGGCGGGGTTATCATATTCAATTGTAAGGCTAGATTTACTGTTCTAGCATCACATCGCATCGCATTGTTTTCTCATCATACCATTCACAAAGAAACGTCTAGGTAGATCTTTCAATCAATCAATAACCTTCTTCATGCTCAACCTCGCTGCCGCTCTCAACTCAAGCGCAAATCATACATGCAGCGCAAGCTTTCTCATCCGTCACTAATCATATCCCACCCTACCCCTACTCACCGAGCCACCAATCTTCAACTCAACAACCACAGTCAATGATGGCGTCACAAATTCCCCAAAAGTTGAAGACCGCGGACTTAACTCGATTTATTATCAAGGCGGCACAGCTAGAAAATGCGAAGCCGGTTATATCATATTGGTGTACGTATTGAAGTCTTATCGCACGACCCAAATTTTAACATTACCATTCCCTCAGGTGAATACTGGATCGTCAACCAGATCCTGTCGAAAGAACTACATACTGGAGATGCAGAGACGCTACAATATACTACTACTTTGATGGAAAAACTTGAGAGGGTATGATAATTCTATGTCTGCGAATTGGACTATAGTTAATTGTGGCAGATAAAATCCGAGAACCCAGATAACGATGCAATTATGGATGATACTGCAGGTCAAGCATATTGCGAACAATTTGGTATGGAAATATTCTCAAGGGCAGATCGAGCTGTCGAAGCAAACAAAGTCACAAAGTACGATCCCAATGATCTATTCTTATGAACATTGACTGATAGAATCTAGACAACTGCGGAAACTTTTCAAGCCGCAGCGACCTTCCTGGAACTATTGAATATTTGGTCACCACCGGATGCCGAAACTCAAGCAAAGATCAAGTATGCAAAATGGAACGCAGTTCGTATCGTCAAAGCATTGAAAGAAGGAAAA